CTGCCAGTTCTGGCAACCAGTCTTAATTTGTTTAGCTTGAAGCATTTGCCGAAAAAACCGATGCCGTTAGCAACAAAAATTGCGGGGAACCCTGCAAAAAACGCATCTTCGCACAGGCAGCCCATGCGTTGGCCAATTATTTACATGTGATGCAAAAGTCCCATGCCGCGTTACACATATGATGCGGGAAACTCCACGCCGTGTTTCATGTGTAATATGGGAAAAAAATCCCCCACATTTCGTTCACATGCCTGAGAACCATGACTGCACGTGTCGCCAGCGGGATTTTTCGGCCTTTTTTTATCATACTAATAATCGTCAGCAAACAACTGGGAAAAGCTTGGAAGGATTTTCTGGGACTGCAAACGCAAAGCCGACGGACTGATGGCTGACAGGATCATAAATAGCGTGCACCGTAGTGCAAGCAGAAAACGTCAAAGCAGCTCCGCTGCATTAATTGCACAGCTTGAGCACAGCTACTATCCGTCATAGTGGTAGTGATGATGATGATGTGGGGGATGGCGGTGATGATACTGATGTGACAGACGATGGTGTTGATGATGATAATGATCATGATAATGATCGGGCTGGCGACAATGATCTTTAATGCTAAAATGGCGCCAATGAAAGCATGTAATGCAAACAGATTTTTTTTTCCAAGAAAAAGGGTAAATAATTTACTGTATGTCTGAAAATGGAGCCACCATCCCAAGCCAACAATGAATATGAGAAGAATGGCGACGAAAACGACACACCAGAATGGTGTTTGAAATCCTCCAGAGAGTTGGCAGCCAGTGGAACTTCTTGGTATGTGCGACTGCTTGATGACGCCGTAAAAGTCGCACTATTTGACGTAACTTAAGAAAAACTATCGATGCTCGTCCTTCTGGTACAAATTGTCATGCCTATTTAGCAATAACACGGAGCTGTCAGGTGCGATGGCTGCACGCCGTCACATTCCTGAGCAGTTCGATTACGCTGGTTTCCGGTTCTTCAGAAATAAAAGTATCTGAAAATACCATTGCACTGATTCATGGCACCAACTGTGGGGAATGTGAGTGGAGAATCGAATGAAGTGGTGCAATAGATGAATGTCTTCTGGATATGGAAATAGCGATGATTTGAGAGAATTTGAATTATTTTGAAAGAACACAGTTCGAGAAAAGTAATGAAATAAGATAATAAATTTGGGCAGGAATGATTCAGTCTGTTATGGTCATATACATTCTTACTTAGTACCACAGCTAGACTTAGTCAGTACAGTGAGTGTGGTAATAATATTTCTGGAAATACCGGCGATTTACTAAATTAACAGGAGAGGGTGCAGCAATTAGGAGTCGTGGAAGCGAAGCGGGAAAATGAACAGAGGAAACTTCGTAATGCATCGGCTGCATCGACTGATAGTTATAAGTCCACAATTCTGCGAAGGTTGATGTATTCCAGGAAGTGGATGAGTTATCGGTTGCGAGCACTTGAACCGATCAGTTTAGTTGCACCATCACGCCTCAGCTTTTCTCCATCCAGGAACAACGAACCTGGTGGGGCTTCACTGAGGGTAGCTTTTCGACAAAATCTGCTCCACGGCGCTTATTTTTTCGCTTTATTCAGCGCTTTTTGAACTGTTTAAGCCAAACATTAGCAGCCTAAATGAGCGTCGAAAATTTTAATTCGTAAAATTACTGAAACATTCAGCTTTCGTCAAAAGCCACCATATAGTGCGCATTTTTCAGAAAAGCGACGAAACAGCGCGCATCTTTCATGCATTTGTCTCTTCCCTTCATTTTCGGCATTTCGTACGTCCCAAAAGCTTCTATATGTGGCCAAGAAAATTGAAAAGTCGAGGTGACAGTAAATCAAATACGATCAATAATGCATGTTAGCTTTTTTTTAGCGTCAAATTTGTCCGACTGGCTGCACAATCTGTGCCAAGCTTCCATTCGATTTCCCAACTCCGAAGACACACAGATAATTCCGCATACATACATTACAAGCTAAGTCAGCACATAATGCTCAAAGTTCATGTATAATCACTAAGCATTTTACAAAGTTAAAATAATATTTTTGTGCATTATCTGTATTTGGGCCCGTTCTACAATAGGATTTGTAAAGCAAGAGAATGAGAGAAGGGGATTATCGAGTGGCACGACTTGGAAAAGTGTATGGACAACGTGTATGGTTTTGCGATGCGATAACGACAAGCACACTTATGCCCAGTTATATGTTTCTTACCAGCAATTACCTGTCATATACGTGTGTCACCTGCTCGAATGTGATCCGAGCAGCCGTCGTGTGCACTAGTCGCTGGAACACCAGCTGCAGGCCAAGCAAGCATTGTGCTTTAGCTGGCGGATGTTACTTGTTGACCAATATTCATTATGCATAAATACTGCTACCAAAACGTATGCATCCTGTGCTAACATCAGAAATCAGAACAAGAAAAATGATTAGCAACGCGCACCGGGCGGGCCTGTGCAATCATGCATTTTTGCAGTATTTCGTGCAGTAGTAAAATCGCTTGGAGTGCCAGCAACTAGAATTTGTGGCATGCAACTACATGGTACTTGGCAAGGGAACATCTCTTCAGAATTTCAGCTTTCTGGCTTTTCTGGTTCTCAAGTTAGCAATTTTCCTGCCAAAAGTTCTCGCGGGGGCTGCATCTGAGAACCACCTATACTTGGAGGCTGAATTTGAAACCTTCAAGTTATATGTGAGTTAGGAACATCCCCAAAAATTTCAGCCTCCCACTTTTTCCAGTTAAGTTAGCAATTTTCCCGCCAAGACTTTTACGCGCTGTTAAGTGGGGCCCAGGCGTACGTGAGAGTTGGTGCCGCAGTGGTGGAGTGGCACTTGGCCGCGGGACCCTTTGGCAAAATTTTAACGCCGAAACGTGCTTGTTTGCCGAGTTGAAATACCCGAACAGACTCACACACACACACACACAAACATACACATACCGGAGTCGTTACAGTATGCGATTTTGCACATATGCAGATGCAACCCAGGCTAGAACGCACCGGGCGGGCCCGTGCGATCATGCGTTTTTGCACAGGACTTGAAGTAC